AGCCCGTGGGGGGGGGGGGCGGTTGCTGATGATGAGATGGAGCCCCAGAGCCTGGGAACCCCTGGACCACGTTCTAGAGTTGCTGGCTTAAGTGCACCCCCGGCCCTGCATCTCACCAGCACAATCCCAGTGGGGTTTATAAGGTTCTGGGCCTGTTTCTCAACGTTTCAGCTGTAATAAATGCAGTGCAGCCAGCGTGGCCCAGCGGTTGAGCGACGACCTTGGAACCAGGAGGTCACAGTTCGATTCCGGTCAGGGCACAGTTTATAAGGTTCTGAGCCTGTTTCTCAACGTTTCAGCTGTAATAAATGCAGCGCAACCGGCATGGCCCAGCGGCTGAGCGGCAACCTAGGAACCAGGAGGTCGCTGGTTCGATTCCGGTCAGGGCACATGCCCGGATTGTGGGCTCGGTCCCCAGTAGGGGGCGTGCAGGAGGCAGCCCATCCATGACTCTCTCATCACTGATGTTTCTCCCTCTCTCTCCTTCTCCTTCCTCTCTCAAATCAATATCTATGTGGGTTTTTTTGTTTGTTTGTTTTAATGGAAGCTTTATTCCCAGCCAGGACTCCAAAGATAAGTTTCCCCCTAACAGACAGGCCTCGGGTTAGTTCCCAGCCACGCCCATGCAGGGAAGGTCGCTGTGAAGTGGAACCTCCTGGGCCCTGGGCCCTGGGGGCGGGGGGGGGGCACCTGCCTTACACCCAGCCCAGTGGTTCTCAACCTTCTGGCCCTTTAAATACAGTTCCTCATGTTGTGACCCAACCATAAAGTTATTTTTGTTGCTACTTCATACCTGTAATGTTGCTACTGTGATGAACTGAAAGGACAGGACAGGACTGATAGCTGTGTCCTTAACCCCTCTTCCAAGAAAAAGCCGCAGAATGTATCAGTTACTCAGCCTGCCCTTATCTCGGCCAATGGGAAAGGGGGGAAAACTTGCCCAAGGCCAAGAGTATGCTAGCCTCCCCCCGTCTTTGTGTAACCAGACCCTAGCTGCACCCTGCCCTTGCGTCACTAGCCCCCGGCCCTCACTCAACCAACCGGAATCGGCCAAATCAGTGGTCAGAGTGCGCCCCCACCCCCCAACCCCAAGCCCTATAAATTCTTTGTTCTCTTGGAACTCGGGGCTCTCTCTTGCATCCAGTAATGGAGGCAGGGGGGGAACCAAGTCCCGGGCTTGAATAAAAGCCCCTTTGCTCTTGCATCGGAAAAGGCTCCCTGGTGGTGGATTATTGGGGACCCCGAACTCTGGGCATAACAGAATCGTCATGTAAATACCTGATATGCAGGATGGTCTTAGGCGACCCCTGTGAAAGGGTCGTTCGACCGTCAAAGGGGTCGCGACCCACAGGTTGAGAACCGCTGACCCAGCCCATCTTATTCCAACAGCTACTTATATACAAAACGGGTTCAAATATCCCGCAAATACTACAGAGCCCAGGCGACGAGAGGAGCAAAACAGACACCTCCACCCCATTGAGACAACGCCCCAAGGGCCTCGAGGAAATGCTTAGCTGTGTTTCCAAGAGGAAAAACCACCCCCGTTCAAGACATTCTGAGACCGACTTCCTGCCTCAGCGTTGCCAAGGCAACGCCAGGCGTCCTCTATGGTCTCAGAGAGCAGCGGGGACCCCCGGGGGGGGGGGGGGGGAAGAGGAATATTCCACCCTGTGTACGGATATTTTTAAATATAAAAGCATTTAAATAGACGACGCCTCATGGTTTTCTATCCGGCGGCTTTTCCACGCGGCCTACCAATGAGGGGACGGAGGGAGGAGGCCCGAAAGCGCAGTCGCGGTTTGAGAGGTTTTCCCCGCCTCGCACTCGCCCCCGGCTGGGCCGTCGGGATAGATGGTGACAGGCCTCAGTTTCCCTAAATTCCCCGCCGCCCCCTTGTTCGCACAGCTCACCGTGCACGTGGGCGTGGACGCCGCCGCCAAGGCCGTGGTTCTCGAGCAGCGCGGCCGGAACCGCGGGTATCGCGAGACCGACGTCCGTGGCTTCCGGCCCGAGAACGGCGTGTGCGTCCCGGATGGCCCGGAAGTGATTGAGTCGCGGGTCAACATGAAGGCGGTCAGCAGGCACGCGGCTGTGGAAGGCGTGGAGGTGATGTTCTCCCGTGATGCGGGCAGGTGCGTTTTTTCGCGTCACTGAGCAGGAAGGAGAGGATGACCCTCCTTTCTTTTTCTTTTTTTTTTTTAAAATATATTTTTATTGATTTCAGAGAGGAAGGGAGAGGGAGAGCATCATGGATCAGCTGCCTCCTGCAGGCCGCCTCCTGGAGATCCAGCCCGCAACCCGGGGCGTGTGCCCTGACCGGAAATGGAACGGTGACCTCCTGGCTCACAGGTTGAGGCTCAACCACTGGGCCACACCGGCCGGCCTGACCCATCTTTCTTCTAGAATGTCTCCCTTGGAAAAGGCCCCCGTGTGCCCTTCCACTGGGCACTTGGGCACCCAGTGCCCCACCCCAGGGTGGTCCTTGCAGACCAGCCTGTTGTCCCCCCAACCCTGCATCCCAAGGTCCCCTCCCCCTAACATAGCCTTGGGTGCGTTGGTAGAAAAAAAGATGTGATGGCACATTTTGAGAGCCACTCATAGTTTGGGGGTGCTTTATTTTTATTGATTGCAGCCAATGTGGTGGTTGAACTATTCTGATAGATTAACTTATCTTTGTTTCTCCAAACTCTGACTCCCAGTAGGTGGTTTCTCCTCCCCGCAAAAAAATAAAAATAAAAAAATGAATGAATGTGGACACCAATGAGAGGGGTTCACAGGTTAAAGGTGGAGCCAGCTCGGCCACTTGCTGGTCATAAGACCACGAGGCTAAGAGCCGGTCTCTCCCCAGCTTATTCCCAGTAACACCTTCTTTCTTTTCTTTCTTTTTTTAAAATATATTTTATTGATTTTTTGCAGAGAGGAAGGGAGAGGGATAGAGAGTTAGAAACATCGATGAGAGAAACATCGATCAGCCGCCTCCTGCACACCCCCTACTGGGGATGTGCCCACAACCAAGGTACATGCCCTTGACCTGAATCGAACCTGGGACCCTTCAGTCTGCAGGCCGACGCTCTATCCACTGAGCCAAACCGGTTAGGGCAACACCTTCTTTCTGAGGCAGAAGGACAAGACCTCCGTCTCCCTGGGTGGCAGTCCCCCCACCGCTGCTGACCTCTCTCTGGTCCAAGGTCTCACCTGGGTTTCCTGCGGTTGCAGATACGTCTGCGATTACACCTACTACTTGTCTTTGCATCTCGGAAATGGGCGTGCGGCGCTCATCCACGTGCCCCCGTTGTCTCCGGGGCTCCCCACCAGCCTGCTGGGAAAAGTCCTGCAAGTCGTCATCCAGGAGATGCTGGCGGAGGGTGAGAACGCCCAAGGTCAAAGCCTGGTGCCCACAAAACAAGCCTCGGTGGTTTCAGCCAGGGAGAACCAACCCGGGCGCTGCTGCCCCTTTGGAGAAAAGGGAATGCGTCAGTCCTGTGTGGAGAGTTCAGCTGTGCTCGGGGAGGCGTTTTAAAAAATCGCTTGTAACACAGTTTACACGGAGGGACAAATTCTGAATTAGCCCCATGAAGTCACAGAGTTATTTTATAGTCAGAAGGCAGGACAACACTCTGAAAGGCAGATATTTCACCAGGAATTAACTAGCTCTATGGCAGCCGCACCATTTTTCTATTCCTTCCTGCAGTGTTTGGTCTTAAAGCAAAGGTTAATAGCTAGGTTTGCTTCTCTCCTCTTTTCATCTTTCATGACACCGCCCTGGCTCACGGTCAGGTTTTACCTGCCCAGTGCTTTCTTGTAAGCAAATTTCCACTGGGAGCCCCGTTCGCAACACGTTTGGAGGAAAGGACTGAAGGTGGCTAAGCTCTGGGAAGTTTCTTACTATCTCGGTGTGCTCGCAGCCATTACTTTTCACTTCATTATGTTTCCAAAAAAATGCTCACTTAGTGCTCAGATTCATTCACTCTAAGAAACAGTATCTGCAACTTCATAACCAGCTGCCCCTTTGGAGAAAAGGGAATGCGTCAGTCCTGTGTGGAGAGTTCAGCTGTGCTCGGGGAGGCGTTTTAAAAAATCGCTTGTAACACAGTTTACACGGAGGGACAAGTTCTGAATTAGCCCCATGAAGTCACAGAGTTATTTTATAGTCAGAAGGCAGGACAACACTCTGAAAGGCAGATATTTCACCAGGAATTAACTAGCTCCGGTTATGGTTTTCATGACAGTGAAATGAAATCCTAGTCATTTTTTTTTTCTCTCTTAGACAAGATGATGCAGCGGTGGGCTGACCCATGACCACCTGGCCGTTGGGACATACAGGTGTGGTCACCGCTTGGTGCCCCATTCCTGACCTCTGAGCTCTGACATCCAGGCGCTGTGGGCACCTTTGAGCCACTGAGTCTCAATTGTTTATTTCTTTCTTGTCCTTTTTCAACTTAAGAAAGAAAAATGGTGGTAACATCATACTGTTTTCTATGGCAGCCGCACCATTTTTCTATTCCTTCCTGCAGTGTTTGGTCTTAAAGCAAAGGTTAATAGCTAGGTTTGCTTCTCTCCTCTTTTCATCTTTCATGACACCGCCCTGGCTCACGGTCAGGTTTTACCTGCCCAGTGCTTTCTTGTAAGCAAATTTCCACTGGGAGCCCCGTTCGCAACACGTTTGGAGGAAAGGACTGAAGGTGGCTAAGCTCTGGGAAGTTTCTTACTATCTCGGTGTGCTCGCAGCCATTACTTTTCACTTCATTATGTTTCCAAAAAAATGCTCACTTAGTGCTCAGATTCATTCACTCTAAGAAACAGTATCTGCAACTTCATAACCAGGGGACGGGGCAGGCCTTGCTTGTTTTAGCATCAGCCCTCTAGCGCGCTTCTGCATGTGGGAGAGACCTTATAGGACCCCTTTTGCAAATGAATGTGGTCGCTGGACATACCGCAGACCCAAGTCGCGGTGAGGCCTGGCAAAGCCAGCAAGTGGGGATGGGATGGTCTGGCCAGCACAGTTGTTCGTGCACAGATCCTTCCGTGTTTGTAGGCAAACGCTGTTCCCCAGACCCCTTTTTGCCCCCGCCCCTCCCTATTCTAGTTCCCGTCTCAGGACAGTGGCAAGCAGGGGGCCTCCTGTCCCGGCTCCTGTGTTACTTCACAGGGCTTGGCACCAAGCCGTACACATGTCACGAACTTTTAGACGTGATTCTGTGGGGAGGCCCAGAGCTCCCTCTTGATGAACATGTCATTTCTCCCCCTCGTGGCCTCTGAAATTCTTGAGGGAGAACCCCAGAGGCCCAACGTCCCCGGTTGAGTGGCCTGCCACCTCACTCCTCACTGACACACACCGGGGCCTGGTTAGTTAGGAATGAGCGGCAGTTCTGAGTCGGTTTGAAAACCACAGCGGAAAAAGCCGAGCCTTGGATTGGTCATTTACTGGTCGGGGGGCGGGTCTTGGGCATGGCCGCCCGTTGGCTCATCTCTGAAACTAATGAAAATGCCTCCTCCGCAGAGTCGTTACAGAGATGCAGTGAGAGGATGGAGGCGAAGGCCCCTCAGTGATGGGAGACCACCAGGCTGCTGCCGGACCCGTGAGGAGGAAAAGAGGAACAGCCCTGCTGGACCTGAGGTCTCAGGAAGTGGCACGGTGGGATAGGTCCTCCTAACACTTCTGAAGACCCAGCGCCTTCACGCTTCTGAGGACAGGTGCAGAGCGCACCGCAGCAGCCCGGGAGGCAGCGTGAACCCGCCTGGGGACGTGGGAGAGGCACCCCGGCCTCCTGTGTTCACCCTGCCTGCAGCCCAGACACCCCGGAGCCTGGGAAACGAGCCTGCCTTTAGTCACTGGTCGTCTAGTAACGGCCCCCGGAGAGCCAAGCACTTCCTGCCAACGGTGAGCAAATCCCAGGGTGAACACCGAGCTTGAGAATTTATTTTTTTGTTACTCCTCACCCACAGATATTTTTCCATTCATTTTTAGAGAGAATGGAAGGGAGGGAGAGACGGAGAAACATCGATGTGAAAGAGACACACTGATGGGCTGCCTCCCGCATGGCCCCAACGGTGGGTCGAGCCCGCCAAACGGGCATGCGCCCTGACGGGGAATGGAACCGTGACCTCCCGGTTCATAGGTCGACGCTCAACCACTGAGCCATGTCAGCCGGGCACAGCTTGTGTCCTTTAAACGTGTATTCACATTTCCCACCGTGACCATTTCCCTGGCAAAGATCATGCGGCCTGGGCTGTGGAGTCCTCGGGGCAGCCCGAGACCATGAACTTGTGAGGAGCGAACACTTGTGAACACCTCCAGCAAGCCGCATCCTAGGCGTGCTTACTGGGTTCTCCCTGCCCCCTCTTGAGTAGGCGTGCTGGCTATGAGGTACCAACAATGACATGGAAATGTGGAGGTCAAGTCCTTTGCCCCAGGGTCCCCCAGATCAAGCTGCCCCCCTTGGCCTGACTTTTGTCCGTGGAAGGTGTAGGAAAAATCTACAGCTCCGTGGAAACAGAAGTACAGATTTCTGTATTTTAGGTATTCAAGATTTTCTTGTAGCTGATTTAATGGAGTGAGAAACAGAATGCTCCCCTGTCTTCACCAGCAATTTGCATGCTGTGAGGGTTCAGCTGTCTGTCAGCAATAAAACAAAACCTTTATGCTGAACACCTCCAAGCGACACGTGTGAACACGCATGCCACACGCAGCTCAGCGCCCCTGCCTCAGAAGCGTGGTGACTCTTGCACGGAGGCGCAAACAAAATTGGAGGCCAGAAGTGCATACTGAATTCCTTTATTGAACGTAAACCATGTAATACTTGAACTACTAGAAAAAAGCAGAGTAAGATAAACTAAAGTCGCATTAGCTTCAGCCATTCAAAATAGACAAAGTCTTTCCCGCCCCCCCCCATAATGTAAAGAATCCAGAGTATATCTCGAGAACAGGGATAAGTTCTTACAATGGAGTATACAAAACCATTTTGAAATTTTTTTTTTTTAGCTACTGATCTTTTTGTATATAAACAGAGGAAGTTTTTAGGAATAATTTGTACACAGAAAGTCATTTTACGTAACAAATTGGCTGTGTCAATTACCGGTTCTTAAAAACTTTTTAAAAAACTTTTTTTTTTTTTTAAACAAGAAAACTCAGAAAATAAATGATCTGCAATACATCCATTCCATCGCGCCTTCTGGTTTGATTTTGTTTGTTTTTTTAAAAATTTTTTCCCAGAGGAAAAACTCTGGCAAACCTCTCATGTCAACCCCGCTGGCTTACAAAGCACACAGGTGTTTTTGCCAAGCATCTATTCCACCTGTGGACGCGTCTACGCAACACCAAACATCCGAATGCCAAGTTGCAAACAGAAAATACTGTATCTGGACCTTTCTCCCATGTTGTGCAAAACACCCCGTTAGCAATGGCGGGGCTTTTGTGGCATTGTGTAGACGTGGCCCATAACCCACTGGGCGCAAGAGGAAATGGAGTCAGACTTTAAAAAAATTGTGTGTGCGTGTGTGTGTAGTTTTTATTCAACTTTGTTTTGTATTGGAAAAATGTATCTTCGGTGTTGTGCCTTAAAAAATAAGAGTCTCTGGTTATATAACAAAGCATCAATCATAATATGAGGCATGTAAGCGAACAGTCTGCCGGCGCCAGAATTACCGTCTTGCGTGATAAGTCTGCGTGCGGCCAGCGCCGTGACGCCGCGGAGCTGTGCCCTCAGCCGCTCCATCGCGAGGCGTCC